CTGGGGTACATAAATATATATTTTTTCACATTTTGATCTCAAAAAACAAATACAATATCAAAAATACTGACAAAAATCAAAACTTAGAATAATAGTACGACTACATTTCTAAAAATAATAATGAAAATACGTTTCGTACACACTGGAAACATGTGGATTTTGACCCCAAGTGTGACTATATCATTTGCATATGAATATACGTTTGGCAAAGATCATTTGACACCGGGGCTTACGGCTTTGTCTTTATAGAACTGCTTTGTTTTTTTAAAACGATATCCAACCAATGAGAAATAACAGGGGATTATCCCGGGAAATTGGCGTTAATACAATGCATTTGTAGATTTAACTAGTTAGCCAGGAAACTTTACAGTCTGTGAGAGACTGAAGAAATCAGATCACGGGATAAATAATAGCATCGCGAAGGAAACTCATAGCGTCGCGGGCAAATCCGATCGCGTCGGGGCCCGCGACGCTGTTTTGGCCTGGGGAGAATACTGATTCTCAAGTTTGTTGTGTATACACTGTACATTTATTTTACTTTATAACAAAATTAAATTTGTTTGTGACTGACTCAAAATTTCATGATTTTATGTATGGGCAGTTAATAATGCTCAATAATTTCAATTTGTTAATTTTTTTGTTTTGTTTTATACCACATATTTATAATCATGGCTTAGTCAATTTTTTGAAACAGTTTTTTTTTTTTACTTTACCGGTATTAAGATACTAAGATAATTTAGTACTACAACAGCGTATTTATTAAATAATCCTTTGGAAAACATGTATTAAAAGTTTATTTGGATCGACAAACAAATATTTCCCCATAATATATGACACACTTTACTAATATGCAACATTGCAGACAAAGTGGGTGAGGTGCAAGTTTTGATGTTACATACCAAATGACAAGAAGCGAAACAAAATTTTGTTTTCTCCTGGTGATGAAATAGTTCTCCATTTTTTAAAATTTGTCTTGTTCTACATGTAGTGTTGACAGTCTAGTCAGTTGCATATGCAGCTGCTGATTACACTGTCATAGCATACTTTGCGTAATGGTATTATAGTAAAAATTTCACTAATTTTACCCGTATAGTTGAACTAAACAAACTTGGCAAATGACTTTCAAATTATTTCAACAATGTACTTCATTTTAGGCAAGTGGCTTTTAAGTTCCCTTGTCCTGATGTTTTATTGCTACATTGTATATTGTACTGGGGGAAAATGAAATTTAATGAATTTGGTATGATTGAATTCTTGTGCTAATTCCAGATGAGTGTGCGGCTACATGAAAGTTTTAGTCTTGCTTTTCGAAGGTACCGTTACATTCTGATAGTAAAAATTATATCAGTGTGCCAGTGTCATTTGTCTTCAGTTAAGTGCCACCTTCAATTAGTCGCCAGTGCCACGAAAACGTTGTATTTTATATACCCCAGTTGAAATTTTGGTACATGATGATCATAAATTAGGCGCGACAGATTGACTACCGGTTAATAGTACCGATAGATGCGATCACAAAAGTCTCTCACTGCTACTGTACGATGGGCTTTTATGCAAAAAATACACATTTTATTGTAATTGCAATAAAATAATTCAATATACCGGTAATAGAGAAACTCTTGTATATATGTATTGTATATCATGCTTCCATACAAAATCTCATTTAAAATCCATACTGCATGATGGTTTGTTGCTTAAATGTCTCGTGACTTGCTTAATTTGCATAAACATACTTAATGATTTTGATTTGCATAAATTAATAGAAAAGTTGTTTTTTCTAAGGATTTACATCTAGTTATTAACAAGGATAATAGCTATACCGTTAAACCTCAATTACAATCGATTATCCAAACAACATGGCCCCCATTCAAATGTTAAAATGATCAATTTTCCAAACTATCCATTATTCAAACAATTTTATCTCAGCCCCCAGGAGTTCAAATAATTATGCTTAAACTGTTTTTTGGTTTCCATTTTCATTTGATATATATTTTTACTGAAAATACATGTAGATAAGCAGCTCAGAAAAAATAAAATCATGTGGAAATATTATTTTCTGTTTTTTATTTGGTTTGCATATAATTTATGACAAAATTATTTGTTATTGTAATTTGCAACTTTTTTTTATCAGTGAACGCCTGTTTCAGAAGGGACTAAAAAAATCAAATAAATAAATAAGTAAATAAACATATCACCTGGTAATCCAATCATAGTTTTCTGTTATCACAGTACTTGTATATGTCAAAATACTCTGAAACCGCTTTAATTTTAAGAGTCATGAAAATCAGACTTTGTTTTGTCCCAGCAGTGAAAATTAAGCAATTTTCAGTATCTAAAAACTTTAATATCTTGTTATACTATAATATTCTTGTTCCAACTAAATGCCCAAATATGGCAGCTAATCTCGTGGTATCATTATCTCAAATCTCAAGGACTGTTATCTCAAAAACAAAGTGTACAGTTTTCCATTATACAAGTAGTTTTTCATATTTTGTTTAAAAAATGCATTTTATGTGTGTTTTAGTTTTGACAAAATTATGAGCCCAATAACTCTACAAAATTAATAACTATCATTAAGAAAAAAAAGCAAAATTCACGAATAATAACTCTACCGTATCATTTGAAGAGTTGCACATCTGAAACTCTCAGACAAAAACTTCATTTAAATTTTGTCAAACTAGTAAACTAACTTGATATCGTATTCTACAATATTCAATGATTGTATGTGAAAGAAAAATACAGTACTTCATGTTGATTTGGAAAATAGGCATTGCATGGAACACTTCAACCTGATGCACCACCATTCAATAATTGTAACTTGCATGCTGATATCTGGATGTAATCATTCCTTTCATATGCCCAGAACCACAGTCTGCCAGGAACACTGCTTTGTTAATCCCATTATTTGTCCAAGGATTGGTAAATTTCATAATTGCGTAGATTGGCTTATTTAGAGGTGCTGTGAAATTTGAATAGAAAATATCCTTTTTTGTTGTCTTAAATGATAACAAATAAATGACAATATTTACTAGATTGTATTCAACATTTATGCTTTACTATTGAAAAACACATGTTCTTTAAAGGCTAGTATGTTATTTTAGCTGGATCTGTTGAAAACAGTATTTTGGAATGTTTTATTGTGCAGAATGTATATATTTGTTGTTCATTTTGTGACTGGTATGTATTTCTATTTAAATTGTATTTCATTTTCAGTGCTACCACTGCTTCAACAAAAAAAGTGCTTTCCAAATATAATTAAAATAACCTAGAATGAATTCAAAGTGCAGGTAGTTCAGTTAATCAGTTAAATCAAGGTTAAAGCTAAATTTGTTGTAGGGTATATAATACCAATTTATTTGTAAATTCTTTGTTCAAGATCTGCAAATATCAGGAAAATTGCTTCATTAGCCCCGAGCACATTGCTGGCTGGTATACATGATATTTGATGACCTTATAGGGTCATTTAACCTCATTTAAAATGTATAGTTGAAGCACTATTGCAGATACAGACATTCAACTAGAAATTGTAATAAAAATGCAGGGGAATGGCATCTTTGATGGCTTTTGTTTATTTTTGATCACATTCAATGGGTGGCTAGCAGCCATTTGTTGTTTTATTATGTCCATACTTGTACATATTATGTACTGAATATTTTTGTGTGATCTCATCTAATTTGGCTTACTGGTGGCCATTTTGATTATAAAAACTTCAATTCTAATACATGGACATGGTTACGTGAGATGACCTCAAAAATGTCAATCAAACTTCCTTGATGTTGACAGCACATATTTGGTTGCATGTGCACATTATTGGAGGGGTGGGGTTAATATGGCTGACTGGTGGTCATTCTATTTTTTATTGTCGACATGAAAAGATTACTAAGTATTAGCATTTTTTATTTTCATTTTATGTCCTTTTTACTTGTTCATCGACTGTGGCATAAGAATGCCAGCACTACCTGTTTTAAACTGTAATTTCTTTGACTTCTATTAAAATGGGATAATTTGATTGCAGGCCATTGCTGAAAGTGGTCTGGGCGATTCCTTCAGTACTGATAGTGGCAATGATGCATTGTTGGCAGCTTTGAAGACGGAACCACCTACTATACAGCAAGTACAACATGGAGTAAGTTGAATGATCTTTCTTGTTTAAAGTTGGACAAAGATGCTCTACTGTGTTTCTCTCAGTTTTGTTATGACTACCTACATTTTCTTTTTCTCCCCTCACATGTATTTGAAAACAAATCTCAATCACTAGACACCTAATTTAGAATACTTACAGTACATAATCAAGTCTGAGATGATAAGTATTTTTTTTTTATGTTTCTATTTGACAGGTTCAACCAAGAACTACCTTTATAGTCCAGTCGAGGAATCCCAATGATGTAAAAATGCCCATTCACACAACACCAGTTCGCCTGCCTACCATGCCTGCTGCCACAAGGATAATTACTCAACGACCTCCAACTGGTATGACTATTATGACTCGGCCACAAAACCATCCAACGACTGCTATGAAAGTAACCATGCCTGTGCAATCAATGACCACTGCCAGAACAAACAGCCCGACTGTTGTCAAACTTCAACCAACATCACAACCTGGGGTTGTTGCCATGACAGCCATCCCTGCAGTTACTACCATGGCAACGAACAATGGGGGGATTAAACGAGAATTGAGTCATAAGGATGTCTCAAGACTTTGGACAAATGAGGACCTGAAGACGAGAAGTTTTTCTCCAACACCAGTAAGTGTGAGTTATAGTTTGTGTAGTGTGCTTGGGATGTAATTACAGGCAAACAAAGATATGGTGAAGCACATCATTACATTAGACAGACAAGCTCCTCATCACACCGCAGTCATGAAATCATTTTCTCAATTTCTGACAACAGATTCTATGATGACACACTCTACCCATAATCCTTTGCTTGAGAATCAAGATGGCTGACTACATAATACTGATGAAAAGTTGAATATCTAGAAAATGAAAATTGATATAAAAAAACTGTAAATTGCACTCTCCTACATTTGTGAAGATTTTTCTTGAGGGGGTCATTATGTTGTTTGGCTTGATGTTTCCTTTAAGTTACACTTCAATCATCCACTCATTCCATTTACTATCGTCCACAAATTTAATTTCATTCAAATTCTTGCTCTTCAACACAAACGTCTTGCAGTCGACTATAATACAGGGACATAAAAAAACGAATCCAACAAAATTTGGAGAAGAAAGTCGACAGTATATAAAGCGATTATTATGATGATTTAATCGATCAGACCATAGAGGTAGAAAATTTGAGCACATTGTTGACACCCTGGCCACAATGATTAGTCCCCGCCAGTGGTTGTTTCGGTACTACATATTACGCATTGAAGATGGAAAAAGAATCATCACACTAAGTTTGTCACAGTAGTTTTGGGAATTAAAAAAGAACGGAAAATATGATTTATGGCGAACAGGTTATTTTGCAAATATACAAAATAATAACGGCGCAGCGGAACTGAAAATTTACCGTCTGATCGACAGACAATTTTAAAGCCAAGTGATCACATCTGCTAATTCAGTTCAGTGCTCGTTGTGACAAATCTTCGTCTAGACATCTTGCATCGTAAAAAAAATCTTGGGGAAAAAAAAACTAGTTGACTGTGGTGCATCCAGCAGAGCAAGAGAATGACATTCCGTGTAGGGCAATGTATGGGAATGAGTTCTCCAGAGCTTTCGGGAGCATAATTTTGTACTTCATGACCAATTGCGACCACGTCCAGATGCCATGACTAGTCGTTTGTTTTGATCCAAGGGACATACAGATTTAGAGTTAGGCGACAATACGTAGCTGCTAAGTTGTTTTTGCCGTTTTCTCGGTTAAACAAAACAGTGATTCGCGGCAACTGCAGGCATTTGATCCCGAGTTAAGGTGGACGCATTATACTAATTTTTTCGCACAGACACTCTTCGATATGTTCTGGGATTTTCCTATTTGCTTCGAAATTACGTTCTAATTTCTGAATATCGGAAAGAACCAGATCGCATTGTTTTTTCAAGATGGCTAAATTATTATTTCTTCCCTAACTACCATGTAGATATATATCTCAAACAACGCAGAATGGTGGTGAGTGTTGAAAAACTGTTTTGTTGCAAATGTTCTACTAAATTTGTTTATTCATTGGTTCAATTATTTTTTACCGAAAATGGCTTTCTTTGTCTACACAGAGATCACGTGACTATGCACATCCATAAACACACTATCTTGTCGATTTCACATCCAGTGTGAAATAGGCTTTCCATCAATATATAGTTTTGTATGGTTCTGTAAATATTTTATATGGAAACATCAGTTTAGAAAATCAATACCAAATACCTATACAGCATAATTAACACTATTATATCACAAAGCTTTCCATTTTAAACTGATTTTGAATTCAATGTTGAAATTGTTGATGATAGTGATGTGCCCCCCTAGGAAGTACCAGGAACATGACAGGACTTACCGGTACATGACCTCTGAGGGGGTCGTGCATACTTCCTATTGCATATTTGTCCTTGGCAGACTCAGCAGCCTACTAGAATTGTAGTACAAAGAGAACCAGAAGAGGAAGATGTTGATGAAGATGAAGATGACTTGGGTCACACTGAAACTTATGCTAATTACAGGCCTAGTAAATGTAAGTATTAGTTAGGGACGACGTCAAAAGATCGATGTCGGATAAAAAACTTATTTGCTTTAGTTTGGGGGTGGGGGGTTTTTGACCTCAAAAAGTTTCCATCCTACAAAAACGATTTTATTTTTTAATGAAGTCAAACAAGTCTTGGAGTATTTGTAGTTCGTTTGTTTTCTATACAATCATGGACAGAAATAACTGAAAAGGAAAAAAAACACATCAAAGACGAGAAAATGGTTTGGTTCGGGTCTAAATATGTGCGTCAAATGAGGTGCATTTGTAAAGTCTTTTTACACCCGACAACCAACTGCTATGCAATACTACTGTCCGATTATCAATTTGTATTTAATGGTGAATGTAGTCTGAAGCCATGACCAATATTTATCAATTAAGTTTCAGTGGAGGTTAGGGGGTGGGGTGGAAAAAAAACTAAAGGAATTAAGTTTTTTATCCGACATTGATCTTTTGACTTCGTCCCTTATATTGTTATTTTTTTAAACCCTTTGTCACCGTCACAATTTAAAACCAGCTACTTTTTTTAAAATTTTGATCAAAACTTAACTTGATCATGTCCATTTTGGTTCAAAAGTTTATCGCCAAAAAAAAAATTTGAAACATACATAAAAACAGGCAAAATGGTTCACTAAAATTTGTCAGGAAAAAGTTATGTTGCTCAAAGTGTTAATTCGCCCTGTTATATTTTTTAATGAGGCTAAATATTTGTATATGGCTACATTTGTACTACAACCAAAAATAAAAACTGGACTTCCACTAACACTTTTGACAGTCAGAAATGCTCATTGTTTTTGCATGGCTCTGCTTACCAGTATATCTCAAAATAACACTGTCTATTTTACTATGTTAAAAGGCGGTAGTTGTCAAACCATGCGCGCACGCGAGATACATGGGTGTCATATATGGTATAAACAAAGATGGCAACTTTGACTGTTGAGCAGATCAACGAGTATAAACTGAGACGTTTTTTTTTTAGGTGATTGGAAGGTATCGACCGAGTCTCAGGCAGTAATTAGTGCAGATCAAATCTCGTACTTGTGATTTCATAGGAAAAGCACATTGAATTGTGGGAGAATCAATGTTTATCAACACAAATGTCGCACATGTGCAGCGTGACGACTGCCACCTTTTAAGCCATACATACCTTACACCCTATTGAGAAAGACTTATCGATTGAAACACTTAGGCATTACTTGATTTTTGCCCCAATTCACAAGTTTAGTTCAAACTTGGTACACAGACAATTGTGTTCCAGCACATTATTAAAAATTTATCTGTGTTCAAGATCTAAGATGCTTATCTAGCTGCCATTTTGTTTTACATTTCACCATTGTAGATAGTATAGACTTGCAGCCAAGGCATTCAGCTCTCATGTACTGGTGCGAAAAAAACAAAAAACATTTGTTGTCATTAAGAGAGAAAAGGGGCTTTGATATTTCTCAAAAGCTTGTTGTCTGATAATCATAGGACAAAAGATACAATTAATGTAATAATGAGTTTAAACTTTGACAATAATGAGAAAAGGATTGAATGGTGTTTTATTAGTAACCGCAGCTGAATCTATTTTATCCAGAAGCCCAGATACGTAGTCTTTAATGATGGCTCTCTATACGTTAACGTGATTGCTTTCCCAAATTTTGTTACACCGTTGAAAAATGCTAAAGTATACTTTTCAGCGTTCTATTACTAGTATTTGATCAGTAAAATATTACTACAAGTATGTCTTGTGTTATATTACAGTAAAATTAGGCATTGACCATCCTGATCCTGTTGTTGAGACAAGCTCGTTATCAAGTATTTTGCCGCCTAATATCTGGTATAATCTATCTATACCAGAACATACGATAGATTACGGTCATTTGTCAGCGCTACAGTTGGAAGCAATTATCTATGCATGTCAACAGCATGAAACATTCCTAACCAATGGTGATCGAGCAGGATTCCTAGTTGGTAAGTTCGTCTTCTATTAGCTTCATTCCAGTGTAAGCATGTTGATGGTTGGTGTTTACTGGTGCAAATTGTAAGCACATTGCTGATTGGTCTACTGATGTTCATTTGCAAGAACATTGCTGATTGGTCCTTACAGGTACAATATGTGAGCATGCTGCTGATTGATCATTACTGGTGCCTATTGCACATTGCAGATATTGCAGATCTGTGTTGAAACCGTGCAATAGTAAAGTTGTTGCGATATGGGTTTTATATTTCCATATTTGTAATGTGAAAATCTAATGGAAACAAATACATTATGTGTGTACATTAGCAGTATACATTGTCAGACTATCTATGGCAACTAGGAATGATTTCCTGGTGGAGATGAAATGTAAGACTCAAGTCAAAGGAACTAGGAAACTACCACCTGAGGCTAGTCCTAACTTATATATCCATCACATTTCCAATTTCTCATAAGATTTCAACATGATCAACATGACACAGTAAACATGCTGGATACATCATCAGTAAACTTCACAAGCATTGTGGCTAATTAACAAATAAAAAAAATGTCAGTTGGTTTTTGTGTTTTGCTAATTTTTTTTTTTGTCTTCTATAAAGGCCATCGTCCATTTTTTAACAAGATTGATTTCACTAATCTGTTTCGTGTGTAGGGGATGGAGCTGGTGTGGGTAAAGGACGCACAGTGGCTGGCATTATTTATGAGAATTATTTGCTTGGCCGAAAACGAGCTCTATGGTAAGTTCCAATAACATGCTGGGATCCATATTTATGTATTTAATGGAGAATAGTGAGAATACATAATAGTGTGCAAATTTTTTTTTTTAGTCCCCGTTCGGACGCAGTCCGAAAACGGGGACTTATGTTTTGATCTCTGTGTGTCCGTGCGTGCGTCTGTGCATGCGTCCAGACCTGTATCTTACAAATGCCTGGACCAATCACAATCAAACTTCACACATACATCATACATGATATTATACATATGCACGTCAATTTGTTTCACGATCTGATTCAAGATGGCTGAATGGCGACCATTTTTGTGCTAAAAATCATCAAAATCAAGCATTTCCCGGCTGTTTACAGATGGATTTTGTTCAAACCTTGTATATACGTTGGACATTATAGGACCTTGATGCACATCATTTTGTTTTACGATCTGATTGAAGATGGCCGAATGGCGGCCATTTTTGTGCTATAAAAATCAAGCATTTCTCGGCTGTTTATAGATGGATTTTGTTCAAACTTGATATATACATTAGACATTACTGGTTCCTGATGCACATCATTTATTTTTCAGATCGGATTCAAAATGGTCGACTGGCGGCCATTTTGTTTTAATGAATGGGTTTCCAGACCCATATGTCAGACTTGTTTTGACTGATTATGTTCAAATTTTTAATATTCATTATACATCATGTCGTAGATGTATGGATATATTGGTTTGACGATCCTTTTCAAAGTGGCCAAATGGTGGCTATTTCTGTGCTAAAAAAATCTTCGAATATCAAGCATTTCTGGCATTTATGGATGGATTTTGTTCAAACTTATAACACACATTAGACATAACAGGTTCCTGATGCACGTCATTTTATTTTTCAGATTGGATTCAAAATGGCTGACTGGCGGCCATTTTGTTTTAATGATTGGGCTTCTAGAGCTTCTAGAGCTAAATGCTTTGACTGATTATATTCAAATTTTATATATTCGTTATACATCATGTTATATATATATATATACATGTATTCAAAATGGCTGATTTTGAATGCTGTTCCAGAGCAATATCTCTCAATAAGTACTTGTTTGACGCTCAGATACAAATGTCAATCATTTTAATGTTAAAAAAATCATATTCCTGACATGGTTATATTCCATCTATATTACTATAAACAAAACTATATATCTTAAATTTGATAACTAACTGGGACTGTGCCATGCATGGCTTGTTTGTGCCTCCCATATTGTAATTTTGAAATGTATATTTTTCCCCTTTTTTATTTAACGTTTATAGAACCCAACCAAACTGAACCAACCAAACTGTGTGATTCGAAAGATGATATAAAACATGTTTATCATAACGTGTACTTATCAGATTAGATCAGAGCCCCCAAACAATTTGTTGGGAATGTTTAAAATATAAAACTGTTGGATAGTGTGTGACATCAAACTATATCATCACACTGTTGGCATACATACATTTATGTACCTTATGCTGTATGTAACAAAATATGTGAAACAAATCCCTGAGGTGGGAATGGGAAGTAAAGGGAAATTGACAGAATGCAATCTAGACCAGTGACAAGTTATGAGTAGGCAGATTGCCTTAAGCTGGCATATCTGAATACTGTGTCTAGGCTTAGATGACAGGTTTTAAAATCAACTATTTTTGGGAAATCAGCTGGCCTACTGGAGCTGGTAGTACCATAGTAATATTGGATAGTTCATCAGGTTTAGTAGGTACTTACATCTAAGTAGAAGAGTGTCAATATAATTAAATCTAATTCTTTCTTAATTTGTGCTGGAGTTAAATTGGTTTATCTAAAGTAGTAATATTTTGTAAATTTCTAGTATTTCAGTTAGGCTACCAATTTTGAAAATGATACCCAAGGACAAGATTTGGTTTTGGGTTACCCGGTACTGTTAATTTCAGCCCTGAGTGATATGTCTGCTCTGAGTACAGATTCTCACTGCTGTTAATATTGTCAGTTCAATGTGCTTTTTTTGTGTTCAAATTTAGGTTGAGTGTTTCAAATGATTTGAAATATGATGCGGCAAGGGATTTAAAAGACATTGGTGCCGGAAATATTAGTGTACATTCTCTGAACAAGGTAAGATACTGTGAGGTTAATATTAGTGTGCAATCTATGAACAAGGTAAGATACTGTGAGATTAATATTAGTGTGCGTTCTCTGAACAAGGTAAGATGCTGTGAGGTTAGTATTACCATAGTGTGCAATCTTTGAACAAGGTAAGATACTGTGACTTTAATATTAGTGTGCATTCCCTAAACAAGGTAAGATACTGTGAGGTTAAAATTAGTGTGAGTTCTCTGAACAAGGTAAGATACTGTGAGGTTAATAGTAGTGTGCATTCTCTGAACAAGGTAAGATACTGTGAGATTAATATTAGTGTGCGTTATCTGAACAAGGTAAGATGCTGTGAGGTTAATATTACCGTAGTGTGCAATCTTTGAACAAGGTAAGATACTGTCAGGTTAATATTACCGTAGTGTGCAATCTTTGAACAAGGTAAGATACTGTGAGGTTTATATAAGTGTGCCTTCTCTGAACAAGGTAAGATACTGTGAGGTGAATATTAGTGTGCATTCTCTGAACAAGGTAAGATACTGTGAGGTTAATATTACCGTAGTGTGCAATCTTTGAACAAGGTAAGATACTGTGAGGTTTATATAAGTGTGCCTTCTCTGAACAAGGTAAGATACTGTGAGGTGAATATTAGTGTGCATTCTCTGAACAAGGTAAGATACTGTGAGGTTAATATTAGTGTGCATTTACTGAACAAGGTAAGATACTATGAGGTTGATATTAGTGTGCATTCTCTGAACAAGGTAAGATACTATGAAGTTGATATTAGTGTGCATTCTCTAAACAAAGTAAAATACTGTGAGGTTAATATTAGTGTGTATTCTCATTTTTGGATATCCAATAAAATATTTTTGGGGGCACAAAAATGGGAGAGATGTGAAAAACATCTCAACTGGGTAGTTGGGTTTTATAGAACAGTATAAAATAGATAAACAGACTGACAGAAGCCTGGGTGTATCAGCCTCAAATTGGATTGGCAGGTAAAGTCTTAAATGGGTACCGGTAGTTTGACAGGCACGTAACCTAAGCAGGATAGTTAGTTTTTGTGTCAAAACGAACTGTATGAACTTAAACATGTATCTTAATAAAACAATGGCCTTATGCTGCATGTGAAAAAAAAGCTGTCGCCAAAATCATAAATTAAAGGGGAAAAAAATCATTTCATTTAAGTAGTTGACATCTGTTACTATTGAAGCCCTTTTAGAGTTCTCTACTCATGCGTTTAATTCTCAGACATACTATATAATGTGTAGTAGTCATTTCACGATTTAGGATTAATCTGTTAGCTATTACCGGTATATACTTAATATTTTATTTTACAATCAGACATGTTTTTACATAGCTTATGTCTTCATAAATTTAATAAAAGTTTTAAAATATCTTGTTATACTAGGAGTCCTGATAAAAAAAAATTGTTAAAGACAATTTTCAATATTGAATGTTTCTGTTGTTTGCAAAATGTCTTTTCGGCAAAGTTTAATTCCAGCAAAAATAAAGTACTAGTAGTGATTTTTGCAGAGAAACTGTCTTTTAATCATAGTGGAAGGTATTGTTACTGTCATGCATATGGTTACCTAAAAGCTACAGATCCAAAACTGGCATAGTAACATTGTCTCATGTACCCCTCCCTTTGTGGGTTCATTCTATGCTTACTTGGAAAGCTGTGATGTTATACATATCTTCACTTTGAACTGAATCTTACATTGCTGAAGCATAATAATCTGAGCTTTCCTTGGAAAAAGAATGAACATCCACTCATTTTTCAGCCATTTAAACTGGAAAACTCTTATATGGTTGCCTAGCAACTAGAATACCTTAAACTGGGCTATTCTGTTTTTGTCAGGTTAACACATCATGTCGTCTTCAATAATTTAACGAAATCTATTCCTGTCAGCTATATGTGATATTAATATAAAGTAAAAAACACAAGTTATGCA